TATATATATATATATATATATATTATATATGATTATTGTTCGTATTATACATATACACACACACACACACACTAAGGCTTGATGCGTATGCTCATTAGTCATTACCCGTACGACAAATACCCGTTGTATTAGGTACTATATACATGTATATTATTATTGTATTTTTATGTACTGTAATTTAAGTATATCAGTGGCGCACCGGAAGTGAAGGACTCCTGCAGTAGGGTCCTGACCCCCACCCTCGGATCCCTTGTGATTATTTTGCCAACAAAAATGATGTTCTAATTTATATTTATATAAGCTAGCATATCGAGCATATCGTTTTCATGACGGAAATACTGCAGAAACGTATATACAACAATGGCCAAAAAATGCTGCATAACACATAATATTATGTGCAACGCGATGCATTTTCAGTCTTTTTCTTCGTTCAGCATGTCGTGAGGTGGAGGTATTCAAACTGTGCGTCGCGAAAATTTGCATAGKGAGCCGCGTCAAAACACCAAAAACKGACATCATACCTAGGTCTTGTAAAATTATTATAAATATTATTTACAATCATTATGGAAATGAAAATGACACACCTCACGGCGCGGCAACTTAAATTTCTATCTCTAAGTACTAAAGTCACTGTTATTAACGTTGCTCTATAGATGGGATAATAACAAGCGTTCGATGGGGGTAGTAAAAGCAAAAGCTTTGTAAAAGACGAGTAGACGTTTGAGCGTTTCATAATAGCGTTTCCTAACACCTAATTTATATATGACATATTATGTCATGGTGGATTTTTTAAACGGAGAGCCCACCATAAAATACTGCCGTGTACGATGTGTACTGCATCCAGAATATAATACGTTTAAACTTAAAGTATACGATTAAACGTTACATTATTTATTTGTATAGACGCTTTGATTTGCATCTGATAGATTATAGAAATAGGGGGAGGGGTTGATGGGGGCCCCTTAATGTCATATAGTATATTTTAAAAATTTGGGCAGCACTGTGTATATACCTATTACCTATGTGTTTTTTAGCTGTATATGGTCTCATTATATTATATAATTCATGTCTGTGATGATGCRTACGCGTCCTTCAAACCGTCTTGATTTTTGTGTCCGTCTGCAGCAGTCACAGTTCAACTTGTAGTATTTCAAATTCGATGATATCAAATGTTTCAACAACACCTCTGCATGGTAAATGTTGAATCAAACGATCGCAGCATGTTATACGCCGTCACGTCAGAACCCATACGGTCACATATATAAATATTCATATACGCATTCATAACGTCGTCCGCAGACCACACGCACACGGCGAAATATAATAATATTGATATGCAGCAAAAGTAGGTGGAAGTCGTGGCTGCACATTATTATGTGGTATACATTATATATGATGGTATTTGGCGATGGTGGTTACAGAAGTATTATATTTTATGTTCGAAAAAAATTATAATACCTATATATTGGTCGAATAGCACGTGGGAAACTATATACAATATACGATACATATATATATATATATATATATATATATATTATTATTGCGCACGCATGTAGACCGCATGTAAACCTATATAAGACTTGCATATTGCACTATAAATATTAATATGACAATATTATTCCAAATGGTATATTTTACGATAAATCTCCGATGTCTAATAAATTTTCCGCGACTCGTGATTTTTTTTTCTCTTTCCATAATGGCAAACGTCCCGCGACCAATCCRATGTCCATTAAATCAACGCGCAGTAGTATTGGAAACGAATGACCGACTTTCGGCGTGGCGCGCAGACATAAAGGAAACACGGAGAGACTGCGCGTG